CAGACATAGTCAGCGTCAAGGTAGCGTCAAGAGGGCCAATCAAGAGGTCGAAAACATTTTAACAACTTGGATACAAAACAACCAATCTACTTCTTGGAGTCACAATCTTAAATTTGTTCAGTTCATGAAAACAGGGCACTTCACTATGGTATAAAGAGAACGCCTTACGAGGCTATATTTGGCTGAGCTCCTAGAGTTAGACTATCCACAATTCGTATTCCAAGAGAAGTGTTTGATGCAGTGGAGGACGAACAACAGTTTGAAAATGCTTTAACATCTCTAACCTCATGTTACGAACGTGTTTTTGCCAAAGCAGCATCTTTGAATGAAATTGTAGAAATGCCTTTCGAGCGTTATGAAAATACATCCCCAGAATAACACTGAAATTGTGTGTCGTGTGTTCGAAAAATTGAGAAAAGAGCTTTTTTTGCTATAAATGCGAACAGCCGACCCATGTTTTATGTTCAGAAGTCTGTTATACGGCAGATAAATTGAAGAGAAAGTCTGTAGCTTGTGTCTAAATAAAATAGATATTGAGAAAGAAAGACAAGGAGCTAAAGAATGTTTGGAAATTCAAACTACGAAAATTAAATTATTGTCTGGAAAATCTTATTCTGAGGCATCTGTAGGCACTATAGTTCGTATTCCAGTTCCTGAAGTTGAATAGAAGAAGAGAAGACGCTAGATCCGATTTAGCTGTCGTTATAGAAAATACTGGGGAAGGGTTTTTCCGATTAGGAACAACAGATGGCCGAATAAAACAATTGTACTCTATATCTCAGTTCAGTATATGTGAGAGAGAATTAACTTCCGTTGAAGAAGTTCCGAATATTGACACAATTATTGAATATTGATACCTTTCGATCTGTTGCAGCAGCTCAAAGTTCGTGTGAAAAAGTGTGTAATAGTAAAAAGTGTGTTTGTTTCAAAAATAATATGCAATTCAATTCAAAGTGTCATCACAGCAATCTTTGCGCTAAATAATGAAAAGTAAAATATAGGTATTTCATAAAGGGCTGCTAAGCAGTTACTTATAAAGACCTTCGTTTCTTGTAAGACAACTGTCCTTTTTGAAATACTCTAAAGCATTCCATTATGTTAAACAAAATTTTAAACTTCACTCCATATATATAAAAATATAAAAGATATGACTGACTGAACTTCCTGTATCGCCATTACAGGCTTAACAGGGCTTAGTGGTGCTATTTAAATATAGAAACATTGAAATCTAAAACAAGGCCTAAATCAGGCGCATAAGCAACGTAACAACCACCATACTACCTAAAATAACTTTAAATAGAATTAACAACTATAATATGAACTTAAAGTCTAGAGAATGGTGAGATTTACCAGCCACACAAACAAATAACACGTTATTACATACTCTGTAAAACAAAATATAACGCATGTTACTTACATGCATAAAAATATGTTACTAACAGAATATCATAAACACCATAATTTTTCTTAAAACAGACAAAGAAATTTTTAAACATAATCAATATATAAATTCTTTTCATGTACAGATACATATTTTATGAAATTTGACAATTTCAATTTAGTCACTGTATTTTTACATAGATCCTTTAGAGTATGAAATTTAGCAATATTTGAAATAAATCTTAGAACAATATTTTTCATAGAAGAACATCTAAATAACAAGTGTTCAAGATCAACATTACTTATGCCACAAGGGCGGGCAGATTTTTAATCGGAAACCTATTATAATAAAATGAGAAATGTCCATGATTAGTTAAAACTTGGTTAAGATACCTGTCACTTAGGCATCTTCTCTCACTTACAGTTGAGATTAAATTATATGTGAATCTTCCTTTAGATACTGGGTCGTTCCACTTTTCTTGCCAAAGAGTCAAACTTTTTCTTTTCAACAAGGATTTCAAACTGTCAAAGGAAAGTCTTTACTTCAAAATCAATAAATTGATTTTCAGTGTCAACCTTTGCCAATTTATCTGCTAACTCGTTACCAATAGTCTCAATATGACTCTTCGTCCAAAAGAGTTTAATATCTCTGAAAGCATTAAAAAATTAGTATATCTTTTATCTTTTTAATTAAATCGTTACTTGGACAAACATCCGTGATTGAAACAATTGCGCTTTCGCAGTCGCTATAAATTTCTACAGGATCTAGAGTAGAATTATAAATAAAACAATATAAGCCTCTCGCAGAGCCACTAACTCTGCCTGATAGACAGAGACATTGTCAGAAAGACTGTATTTCCTTTGTATGCTTATTTTCTCGTGTGAGAACGCACAAAAGGCTGTCCCCACATGACCATTTAATTTAGAGCCATCTGTAAAAAAAGTGTAGCCTGTCATATTAGGGAGGCTTTTATGCCAGTTCAACCGTTTTAATAAAGCTGGATGAATGTCTAAGCATTTCTCAAAGTCAAAATCTCTAGCTGAAAAGACCTCACTGAAGCAATCGACAGCTTTATTACCAGCTTTCAGTTTAAAGATAGCATACTCTTTTTCTGCTAAAATATCAATCGGAAGACATCCAGACAAAATCTGAAGAGATAGTGTGGAAATAGTTCTAAAACACTTAGTAATCCCCAATAAAGCGATTCTTTGAATTAGCAAAATTTTGTTACGCATTCGGACCGATGCACCATGCACCACATGCATACAAGATCTTTCTCCATATAGCTCTTTTATATAAACTCTTAAGAACTTAACCTTGGAGGTTCATTTTACGAAGTCTGTTAGGAATATGAATGCATTCAATCTTTATTTGATCTGGGTGAGGCATAAAAGTGAGCTTTTCATCGATCGTAAGGCCCAAATATTTGATTGTCTTAGAAACTCTAATTGGTTGTCCACACAGTTTGCACCTAGGACGTATTGATCTAGTATTAGTTTTGTCAATACCCAAAAGCTCTTCTTTGGATCCAGTTTAAGTTTAACATGGAAAGACCACTTCTCCAATTCTTGAGTGGCGAAACTTAAATCTTTATATCTTATTGTAGGACGACCTCCCGTGGCAATAAAACAAAATCATCAGCATAAGCTTGTATACTAACATTTTGTGGTAAAGTTATGTTTGAGCTATATTAGCAATAATATTCCACAAAAGTGGACCAGATATTGAGTTTTGGGGACAACCCCTTTGGTAATTTCTGTGGTGCCATTTATTACCATCATATAAGAAAACTTTTCTTTCATTCAGAAAATGACGAATCAATAAGAAGATGCTTCTTGGAAATTTCATATCTTTTAATTTCTTCAATAAAATTGGCCACCAAACGTTGTTGAAAGAGATCATCTTTACATCTGAGGATAAAATTGTAGTATGTTTGCCATTCCTTCTATTTCGAAGAATGTCAGAAATTAAATTATCTATAGCCTGGGTAGTACTTTTACCCAGCATAAAACCAAATTGATTTTTATTTAAAGATTATTTGATAATAAATAATATTATAACTTGTTTTTTTGTTGTGTCATGAGTTTATCCAGCAATAATATTCCACAAAAGTAATATAAAAGATATATAAAAATTATCGTTATATAAAAAATAAAATGACAATATTTATATATGAAAAAAATTAATATTTTTAGAAGGTAGGAGCGTTTACGGTTTATTTAATATATTCTATCTCTGCTTACAGTTATTAATTACTTACAATGATATTCAATATTACAGTTTTCATGTTTTATATCGACACTCAAAAGCAAAATTTTTATTACATTTTTCTATACCAATTTTCAAAATTATGTCATTCATTTTTCATATTCAAATTACAAGATAAAAAGATATGAAACTAATAATTACTATCTTTAATTAATCCTCTAAATTCTTGATTCACCAAATCTTTTAAGCAATTGTTAAATCATTTTCATTTTATAAACACATCGGTGAAGCAAGGGTTTCCAGATAAGCAATATGCATCCTTCGATAAGAATATGCATTCATCTCATTACAATAAGATGATTTGATAGGAAACTGTTAAAGATGAGATAGGCTTTAATGTGTAGATAAGAGGATGACATTCACAAACAGTGTCACCGAATTCAACTTAATTATATTGCTGAACACTCCAAGAAACACAACATTGATTCACATATTTTTATTCTGAGTGCGATATGTACCCCTCAGTTAGTACAGCTTATATGTCTTTTTTAGACAAAAGACTATTATAACGGACAGGAAAACATACGTGGCTAGCAGAAGCTAGATGAAGCAGGAAAGAAGGATGCTCCATATTATCAGTGGTATTTATAGTAAAATTTTCCTTTAATCCGACTGGAGAAAAGCTCTCGTACTGCAGCTTGATTACATAAATACGAAACGGATTAATTTCCAGATGATGCACTCTAGATACCAGAAAGGAAATGTAGTCAAATCAAAAAGATCTTACGTCTTATATGTATATATGTATAAGTACATGTATATATTCATTATCCTCGAGTTAAAATACACAAATTTTATCCAAAAAGTACCGCGTTTGGATTATTAAAAACTATAGAAAATTTAAGATGAAGGTCTTAATGCTTCAGGTGCTCTACATAATCTCCGCCCACTTGAGTCCAAAGCAGAAAATGTTCATACAATCATATGAAACTGCCAGAAAAGTCCTTGTTTGGGATGTTATTCAGCTTTTGTGTTACTGTGGCCTAAATGTCGGTTACGTCGTGATAGCTTTCACCCTTCATGCGAAGTTGATTTCGGTAATATAAATTTCACTCTACATCAAATCAAGCAACAGTGAGGGCGGTTTAGAAATGGCACACCTTTATTTGCTAGAAACTGCATCACATCTCCAGCCATATAAACGAGCGCATTTTTTATACAGCAAGAAGATATATTTCTCCTTCCGTCATTCCGGACGGACCACTGAATCCTCTTGCACAACCCAGTTATGCTTATATACTATTAAGAAACTCTGTCACGAAGCTTTTCAGACAGACGGTGTATAACTAAAACTCTTCGGAAAGGTAATTTATTGTATTTGGGATTACGAATTTAAGAGTCCAAAGAACTGTAAATTGATGAATTTATAATTTATTGCTTTTTTTATTGCATTTGTACAACATGCTTATTCTTACAATATCAGTTTTACTCAATTGTCCTTTCTGTGTTACCTCTAGAAGACGCTTATTGCCCTTTTTGGCAGCCATGGTTTTGAGAATACCTTTTTCCTTGGAGAAAGTGTATTCTCCATACAGCATAATGGAGTCGTAGTCAAAGTCCGTGAGCAGCAGATTTTGTTCAGGTTTCAACAGGAAGAACTGATCCTCTAAACCTGCACGTAGAACAACGAGTCACTAATAAAGCATTTAACAAAGGGTATATATATCTTATTTCTAGATTTCAGATGTTTAAGCAGAGTATATTTAGGTCTACAGGAAAGTTCTGTACGATAATATTATTTCAAATTTCAACACCCATGCACCTGCTCATTTGAGACATATATGGCTGTCTCTCTTTATCATTGCATTTATGCGCATGCGCTGTTCTAAATTGACTAAAGCAAAAGGATCTCATACCATTATTGAGATGTGATTGTGTAAATTATGGCTACCAATAATGTTCATTTACAACAATGTATTTTGTATGAATTCCGGCAAGGAAGAAATGCTACAGAAACGTCGTGTTGACGTTCAAAGAATGTTTTGTTTCGAAATGCAGTTTCAGGTAGAACGTTCATGATCTTTTTACAATAAATTTATGACAAAATTTGAAGCAGGTGATTTCGACCTTAATGATAAGCTAAACTCTAGGTAGGCATTTATAATCTATGACGATATTGTCAATAACATGATTGAGTAAAGTCCTTTTTTGATAACATCGAAAATGGTGGAAAAACTTAGCTCAGCTTAACAAATTATTTCGAACCATACTCGTAAACTAGGATTGGTTTATAAATATTCTCAATGGATGCTTCATAAGTTAAGTTAGAAAACTTTACATGATTGAGTCGTCATATGCACACCTCTGCTTGCTCGAAATAAAATTGAAACCTTCCTTGTACCGGTGATAAATGATGATGAAAAGTGGATCACCTACGAAAATATCGTTAGGAAAAAAACATAGTGAGCCCGGATAGCCTGCTACCTGTAATTCTATTTTAGAGCTTGAGTCTGAATAAAAGAATGTTCTGTATATGATGGGTCGTCCAAGGACCAATATTTTACTAACTTTTGAAACCTAACGAAAAATTCAATTCGGAAAGGTATTCTCACTAAATGGATGATTTAAGCAAAGCAGTCAGAGAAAAGAGTTTAAGGAGTTTCATTAGAAAGCACATCATATTGCATCATGGTAATGCCAGATCACATGCTGCTTTGGAGACCAATCAGAAAATCGTAGACCTAGACTGAGGAACTCTGCGCATCCACCATACTCCTCAGAACTAGTAACCTATGATTTTTACTTGTTTATCTCCTTGAAAAATTGTTTGAAGGGGAAAACTGAAAACTGAAGCAGACGTCACGAAGCACTACTAGAATTCTTCACCTCTAAGAAGAAGGCATTTGAAAAAAATGTATTACTGTTACGCTGGAAAGAGAGCATAAGTAACGAGAGAAGTTATACTGTGCGATAACTATTATTAAAAATATAAAAAATGTAATATTTCCTTTCGTATCCCAAACGGAGAGAATTTTCCGGTAGACCTTTATTTTAGCATTATCATATAAGTAAAATTTACTACAGACTCAACTTTGTAACATCAGAGGAAATAGTTAATTATTTCCTGATACTGCCTTTCACAAATTAATATTTGACTCTGATTTGTAGATGTTTTTTTATAATTTTTCCGGTAATTGTCCGTATAACACATCATTTTGCATAAACAATCTATTGACAAAGACCATATTTCAACTTAGAATGTTATTTCGCTGTAAAATATATAAGGCTAGTTTCAAACATCCCCCCTGGAAAATGGTATTAATTCAAACTAACTGTTGAACTCTTGCCGATGATCAGGAAATATTAATAAACATTAAATTTTTTACTGTCAAATAAAACTCTGATAAAACTGAGCTGCATTTTGAAATTTCTGAACACTGCGCTGCATTACCAAAAAAAGAACTATTTTTGCATATGTTTAAATGCCTATTTACAGGGATTCAAAAGCTATTCTTTTATCGTTATACATTTACAGAAGCAAAATTGCGTGCAATATTTTGCATATATTGGCAAATATATTTGCATTTTACTTCGAATGGGTTTACTGCATTAAGACAAATCCTTTCTCAGCAGTTTTCAAGTTTGCAAATTGTTATAGATGGACCAGAAAGTAATGTCGCTTTCTTACATTAAATTCAAACGAATACATTTTTAACAAGTTTTTATTTTTAATCTATAATCATCCTCGTTATCAACAACCTTTTGCCATCTAATGTGCAGATTTTCAATCCCGGACCGATAAAATCAATTGGTTTTTGAGTAAAATATCTCGAGAGGACATTTTGGACATCATCCAAATTTTCAAATTTTTTGTCACTAAAAAAAGTGTTGTAGGGATCCGAATAAATGGAAAACCAATGCTGTGATATCGGCCGAGTATGGTGAGTGAGTATGGCAGTACCTCCCACCCCAATTCATTAATTTTTTCCAGTGTTCGTCTTACACGTGCTGTCTTGCATTGTCGTGTTGCAGAATGACGCCTTTACTGTTGACAATTGATATTTTTCGATTAAAGATTGGTTCACTCCATCCAGTTGTTCACAATAAGGGTCTGCATTAACAGTTTGTCCAGGTTTCAGCAATTCAAAATTAACAATTCCGCGAATACTCCATCAAATACGCAGAAGCGCATTTTCGGGATGTAAACCCTTTGTAACCCCTATTAAAACTGCCTTTTGAGTTTTGGATTATCATATAGGACTTATTTTTCTGTCTCCAACAAACGATTTCAAACGATCAAAAAACGGTTCTGTATGGTGCCGTTGAAGCAATACGTTGTATGGGATGGATAGGTTGGCTTTGTTCTTTTCGGACAGATTATGGGGGACTCATACAGCTGCTTTGCTTATTTTTCCATTTTGCTTTAAATGTTCTTGGATGGTCAATTAAGGTTGGTTAAGAGTGTTTGACATGGATTTGCTTTCACTTCTGCCCTTAGCATGTTGTTGTCGACATGCGCAGAAACGACATTACTTTCCAGTGCCCCTATTAGTTTGAAACAATCGAATTGTCTACGATTTAGTTATAATAGAGATTTTTCATTAGTCATTTGTCTGCGTTAAAAGCAAACTGTAATTTCGTTGGGAGCTGAAAATACAGTATGTAAAAATTTTGAAAAGTTCTAAAATAGGTCTATGCCAAATCTGATAATACTTAGGTGGATCCAAAAGAAGGTTACAAGCATCAGCATTTGAAAAGTAATTATTGTGCATGGAATGAAGAGTGTAGATAGTTGTCTAGCAGCAGTTGTGAAAATAAATGGAGCAAGTTCGCAGACTTGTCAGAGAGATTGAAATGACGAGACATTAGAAAAATCTTAGAGGTGCGAAGCGTAATTCGTTATCCTGATCGAGTATCTGGAGCGTGCCATACCATTACTGCCGATTGTTATTATGCCACTTTGACAAGGTTACATGAAGCCCTCCGATACAAGCACCCCGGCATGTTGTTTCGTGATGGTGTCATCCTCCTGCATGACAACATCCAGCCCCATACTGCTTAATAGGTCAAGAACTGCTGTGAAAGTTTAAGTGAGAAGTCTGGAGTCACCCCATATAGTCCAGATTTAGCACCCAGTGACTATTTCCCTTTATCGAAATTGAAGGAATATTTATCTAAAATGAGGTTCTCTTTACCGAGTGATGTGTAAACATCTACCGAGAATTGGTTGAATGGACATGGACGTGATTTCTACTTAATAGGTATATCTTCCTCTTTCCTAGCGTGCCTTCGTGGTGTAGTGGTTCTGCACGCTAGGCCAGTATTCCAGAGGACCGTTGTTCGATTCCTGGAGAAGACATTGCTAATTTTTCATCCTGCCTGCTTCCAAAATACCTAATGCCTCTAAAGTGGCGCCCGAACTAAGAGGGTGGTGGATGATGATTTCTCCCCACCTAGGATTTGGCGATTGGGTCCCCTAAAAACCCAGTCGTCCTTTAAAAAGGTATAATATAAGGTATTTCTCTAGCTTTCCTAGTGTGTTATCGTCGTGTAGTGGTTCTGCACGCCGGGCCGGTATTCCAGAGGTCCGTGGTTCGATTCCCGGAGAAGACGTTGTTAATTTTCATCTTTCCTGCTTTTCATCTTTCCAGAGGTCCGTGGTTCGATTTCCGGCAAAGGCGTTTGCATACTAACCCGGGTTAAACAAGTTAGTTCTGCGTTCAGATAAATACCTAAATAGATATCGTGATTGTGAAAAAATGACAGAAAAGCATGCCCCTTAATTTCTTTTAATATTTTCTATTATTAATAAATAATATTTTACACTTGTTTTATGGATCCACCCTTGTAGTTTACATTTTTAACTGCCTATCTCTATATGCAGCTAATTTTCTGTCGTTATATATTTCTAGATAAGCAAAATAGTCTGCGATTTTCCCAAGTTTCCAAGAGCTCCTTTCTGAGAAATGTAGAAATGTTTTAAATATTTCAGAAAGCATTTACGAACAAATGCTTCACAGCACGGATAATGCCAAGGGATGAAATCGAATGCATTTAAAAGGTGAAAATTGTTAAGCATCATTTGCTCTGCTTTAGTTTATTTTCTGATTCATTTGAACACGTAATGTATTTTTTAGTGAAAAATAAGATTATTTTATTTAATCATATCTGTTTATCAAATTTCATATTTTATTTTCAAGGGGGGAGGACTAGTACATATAACCCTAAGCAATTAAAAACTGCAAATGTATAATTAAATGAAAAAGAGAAATTCATTTTAGAAATAGTGTACAAACCTTCTTTGATGTTATCCCAATAGATAATTAAATATTCGTCTCTGTCGGATCTATTTTGCTCATGGTAGAATCCTAAAGCATGCCCGAGCTCATGAATAATGGTGCCTAGCCAATTGCAACCTTGTCCAATGGAAACAGGTTGCTGGCCTCCCGTCCTTCCCACGTGAGAATAACATCTAGAAAAAAAACTATTAATTTTATTAGGAGATTTAATAAAAGATTTCGGTACTTTTCCGTTTCGCTGGCGCAAATCTCGCCAAGCAGACTTTATTGACGACAACATACAGTATGCACATAAAAAATGTTAACAAATGTTAGTTTTAAGAATTTTTCATTTTTAGGGCACAATCATTTTAATAGCGTTTAAAATTTTGTAAAAAGCCAATAAATAAAGACAATAAATTTGTAAAAAGACATTAATTTAAGAATTTACTATGCTTTCATGGTTCAACATCCTGAGTCGCCGGTTCGTATCACGTGACTCCAAGTGATCTCATCCCACGTAAACTACGCTACAAAAATCTAATTCTCTCAGTAATTATTTACATTAATTTCAAGTTAAATCTTATTTTGGAATACAAGTTTAAATGCAAGAATTATTTCAATTCGTACGAATAGCTTACTCAGAAATTATGTAAAACGCCGTGCTTTACTTCGCTAGTGCATTCTCATTAAATTTGATGAATTTAACCCTTGACATTGCCTTTTCTATATTTTCGCCTTCGGGTGAGCGGCGTGATTTCATCCTAATTGATTTAATTACCACGAATGGCCTTAGGTCATAAAATTGAACTATCTGATAAAAATTCTATGTAATTGTATGCCAGTATTGAAAGAGACGATCAATCTGATAAGAAATGGCGGCGACTTGTTTTAAAAATGAAGCCTAAAAGGTTACCAGCGAGGATATTCCGTTTGGCACCAATTGTACCATGATTGGCGACTTTAATCCCTTGCGCCGGCAAAGCGGAAAAGTACCATAATTTCTTTGTATACAGCAACTGTATCGACTTCTTGCACTGGCACTTGACACCACGCCACTACGTAACAAGGAGTACTTGACGACATTAACCATATTTGACAAACAAACATTTAAAATATGGCTAGTGAAATAAAAAAAAAATTTTATTTCTAATTAGATAATAATTATGTTTCGCCCCAGTTACACTCATTTGAAATTTTATTGTTTTAAAACTAAGTTCATTTTTCACCTTCTCGCGGAAATTACATATTGTTGCTTAAAAGCTAAATTAATTTGAATGTAAGATAAACCATGTTGAAAGTGGTAATATAATTGTTAGAAAAAAATCATCATGATTTAGATTCAATCCTAAGAAAACTGTTATACATGCTTAGAAAAACTTGGGTTTGCTAACTAACGTTTTCATCAATGAAATTTATTAAATCAAAATGAGTATCTTATCTGATAAACATATAAAATTTATCTGCCGAGCTCGGGTATGAAGTGATATTGAAATTGATTCTCGTTGGAATCACAATGCTTATCCTTATAAAAGAATAAAAAATAATAAAATTTCTAATTAAAATATTTCTATTTTTTTTTCTTTTTTCCGTTAATACGTTTACAGGGCTATTAGAGGCTTGAGAAATACATATACATATAAAATATGTGGCTAGCATGGTACTTTCTTTGATCAATGCTGCTATAACAAATCATTAATTGTAATAAGTAATTAATCATAAGTAATTTTATTTCCAATTTTGAATTTATTTAATTTTTTTTTCCAGTGCACAAGGTAAGAATATTTTTAATCAAAAATTCCTCCAAAACGTCTATTTGCAGTAAATAATAAATAGTACTTTACTTTTACGTGGACACAAATTAAGTAAAAAATTAGTTTCTCTCAAATAACTCAAATAAAAAAGTTATAAAATAAACCTTGAAAAATAATTAATTAAAGTAATTTTCTAAATATTTGCGATCAAACACACAGTGGCATAGACAGAGCTTTCGCCATCCGAAGAGGGCTATCTGTTTGCCACCTCTTTCAACGTACACGGAAAAATGTGTTAAAAAATAAAGAAAGAAAAAAAAATCTGAAATGTTTCACATTTTAAATTGCGTCCAAAGGAGCGTTTTTTTAACATTCTGTCTGTTACCTTTATTTATTAAATATCACGCACGTTCTTTGCATTTAAACTATAAAATTCAGTTCAACAGCAATGTCGCAAAATAATTTTAAAATGAGCCCATCTTTAGAATTTCAGATACACAGTTCCGCGCGCTGGAGATAAAAAGATTTTCCGCCTCCTCCCGTAGAATCTTGCCATTCCTCGCTTTTAAACCGTTGAGTTTGTTCATCAAAATTCCTTAAAGTTTTACAAAATATGAAATCGATAATAAAACAAATTCCAAATTTCAAATTTGGGCTTTCCTGATGCCCACATTCGCAGTAGGATTACGTCATTCAAAATTGTATTTCTCTAGGTACCGTTGTTTTATCACAATGCGAGAAATATACACGCATTTATATGCAGATCCTTCATTATTTAATTTCTTCAAATATAATACAGGGTGATAGTATTTGGTGGCAACGATTTGAAAAGTGATACGCCGTTTATAGGTTTCCGACGCAAAATCGCAAAATGAAAACAAAAGCCCTTCAGGAACAAAGCCCCTTTGGACTTAAAATCTCAAAGCTTTCATATTTTGCATTACGCCCAAAGGGGCGTTTTTATAACGTCTTGTGAGTTACCTTTATTTATTAAATATCATGTTCTTCGCACTTAAACCATAAAATTAAATTTAACAGCAATCGCAAAATAGTTATAAAATGAGTATATCTTTAGAATTTCCAATATAAAATCTTGCGGACTGGAGATAAAAGTTTTTTTTTTTTTTTTTTTTTTTTTTTTTTTTTTTTTTTTTTTTTTTCCCGTACAGTGTTGCTATTCTTCGCTTTAAAATCGTTGAGTTTCTTAAAATTCTTAAATGTAATATGAAATAGATAATAAAATAAATTCCAAATATCAAATTAGGTCTTCCAGATGCCCATATTCGGTGGAGGATTATGTTATTCAAAATTTTATGGCTCTAGGTACCGTTGTTTTATCACACTGTGAGAAACATACATACATTTATGCAAATTCTTCATTATTTAATTTCTTTAAATATGATACAGGGCTTTAATATTTGGTGGCAACAATTGGAAAAAAAGTGAATCAACGCAAAATGCCAAAACGAAATTAATAGCCCTCCTGGGCTAACGTCCTTTATGCTAATAACGAGTACGGAAATAAGTAAAAGTAACTCTATTGTTTATTTTTGGAATACAATTTTAATTCTAATCATTTAAAATGGAATTTTGCATGTTCTTATGTTAGCAAATTCATCTATGACATTTTATACATTTTTTTTTTTTTTTTTTTTTTTTTTTATTTCCTGTTGTTCTTCTGCAAAAAAGTAAGATTTCGAAAATTCTAGGTACTTATTTTTAGATCTAAGGTGTTTTAACTGATTTGCATTTATAAAAATTTTCTCTTCTGGCAATCAACACTTATAACAATTGCGAGGAAAATTTGCTATAGTATTATAATATTAATCATAATAATTAATCATGTAACTATAACAATATTAGAACTGAGTTCCTGGAAGCTGTATTTTAGAATAAACTGCAAACATTCAAAGCGAACATCCTTTCATTTCTCTGTTTCTTTATTCCAAGCAGTAACAGAAATAAAATTCACAAATACTTTTCGCTCACTGAGGAATTATTCTTTCTTTATATCTTCATTATCGTAATTTCATTGACATCGACATTTTTCATTTAAAGTTTCGACGAAATAAGGAAAGCACAGCAAGAAGTGAAGCGGTTATAATTTCTCTGAAGTTTCTTTGAATACTTCGTCCGGTGTAAAATTAACACTCTCTTTATGGCAATTTCGCATAGAAGTTCAGACTGAGTGGTGAAGATTGCTAAATACTGGTAGTTAAATTTAGAATCAAACTCCTAGGCTGGCTGCATGAGCATTTTCACAGTTTATGTTATTTATATGTAACATAGAAGTTGTAGGTTTTGAGCTGGTAATGTTAATTAGCCCAATAACCTTAACAGACGTAAAGCGAATTATCGCTATGTAACCTTAACAGGCGTGAAGCGAATTATTGCTATGTGTGAAACAATAACAAAGTTAATTCAGAAGTCAAACAACACAAAAATCAGCGTTAATCTACAAAATTTTCACAGGACTAGTTTCGATGGTTTTACCGAACCATCATCTTCAGCTGCAAAACCGCAAATGAACAAGATAGGAAATAATGTTTAGATAAGATAAGAAAAGCCTGGACAAGAATAAGCAAGTGGCGCCATCTGTTGGCGAAACCAGAACTAAAACATAATTTCTCTAAAAGCCGAAGACAAATTTGGATTGGAATTAGGATCGTTAACTAGAACAGAAAGATTTTTATGAATTGAAATGCCTCTAGAAAATCCAGTTCTCCAATGGAAGATGTTTTTTGAATAATTTTGGCAGCAGAAAAATTGAAAGTGTGATTTTCAGACCAACAATGTTGAGCAACAGAAGACTTCTGTGTTTCCTTTTTTCTAACATATGCCTCATGTTCTTTGACGCGAAATTTTAAGGCTCTCTTAGTTTGGCCAATGTAAATTAAACCGCACTGGCAAGGAATCCTATAAATACCCCAGGAATTCATATCCGGAATGGGGTCCTTGAGTATAGAAGTTGGAATTTTATTGATGGGAGAGTAAACAACCCGAAAGTTAATTTTTTTTTTTTTCTGCAAAATATTTTGTGCAACTTTATAGCTAATTGATGGAAAGAAGGGAATGACAACAGAATTTTTTATAATCTCCTAAAATAAGAGTGTGGCCTTTTAGTGTGTTGAGATGAGAATTTTTTAACTGCTTGATTAATAATGTTGGGTGAAAAGCCCCTGTCAATAGCTATTGCTTTTAAATAATTTTAGTTCTTCATCAAGGGCTAGTTTGGAGGAGCAAACTTGAAAAGCACGGAAAACATAGGAATAAAATGAAGCTAACTTTTGTTTAGTCGGATGACATGATTTAAAGTGTGGTGAAGGCAAACCGATGAAGGTTTACGGTAAACTGTAGTACTGAAGTTGGATGTGTTACGTGTGACCAGAATGTCGAGAAACGGAAGAGAATTGCAAGTCTCAAGTTCAAAAGTGAACTGAATAGCAGGATCAATAGCATTCATTGGTTGAAAGAACTTTATTTAAATCATCTTTATTACCTTCAAACAGGGTAAAAGTATCGTCTACGTAGCGGAACCATGCCGGGAAGTTTAAAGTTTCAAACAATTTTGATTCATAATAATGCATGTAGATATCAGCCAGGATGGGACTGAGGGGGCTTCCCATGGCTAATCCCTCAGTTTGCTTGTAATATTTATTTTGGAAAACAAAATGTTTTGTTTCAAAACAGAGTTGAGTGAGAGAAATTAGCTCATCAATTTTCGATGCAAGAGAAATGAAATTCGCGAAGTCTGGTTTCTAGACATCTTAATGCACCCTCCACTGGGACATTGGTGAATAATGATTTTACATCAAAGAAACCATGAGTAAATTACGAGGAGAATGTTTTTAAACCTTTTTTACAAACTCTATTGAATTTTTTATGGTGTAAATGTTATTGTCTAATAGAGTGGAAAATCTAGAAACTAATATTTAGCTAATGGATACGAGGCAGTACCTAAATTTGATACAATAGGCGGAAAGGAATACCACTTTTATGAATTTTGGGAAGAGTATATAATCTGGCACAATTCGCAACAGATGGGATAAGCGAATGTTTAAGTTGCTTGAAATGATTTGCGAAGATTTGATCGCAGTTTTTATTTTGGATAAGTCCGAAGGTGAAGGATCTTTAGGAATCGGATTATATGGTCCTTCGTTTAAGAGTTTAGTGACACCATCGATGTAAGTGTTTCTTATCCATGACGACTATCTGGCCACCTTTGTCGGCCTTTGAAATGACAATAATCCGGGTTAGAATGAATCTCGCGCATTGTAGCTCTTTCTCTCGCAGTTAGATTTGGTTTCAAAGGTTTATTATTGAATTTCACATTATGAGCGATAAGATGCCTAATCATTTCTTTCTGTGAATCTGAAAACTTTACTGAACTTGAAAGCTTTTTGAAGGAGCCAAAATCTTTGGAATCGAGGGTTTACAGGTTTGTGAGAAGTTAAAATTATATTTTAGAATTCTCTTGTTCTTCTGAAAGACTAACATTAGAAATATTAACTATTGGCTTGATGTTTACAATGGGAAGATTTCTTGAACTACTTGAACTGGAAGACTGTAAAGAAGTTTTTCGAATTTAACTGCAAGGTGTTTTTTATGACGGTTAACTGCATTCTCCGTTCTAGACCAAGACTTTTGTTCAAGGGCAGTGAATTTTGGATATGTTTTAGCGAGTTCCAGATGAAGCTTATAGAGTTCATGTTCAATTTTGGACAATTGTTGACGTGTATCCCTTATCACGGACCGAAGTAAGGCAAGTTTGCAATTTAAACAGAATTCTTGAAACGCGACTCGAAGGTTTTTGATTAGATTTGATTTGAATAAAATTGGGGATCAATTTTTTACATTTACATTTAAGTAAAAAGTCAAGATGATTCAGGAATTTTTGCCGTTTCAGGCGTAATTTAGTGAAACGATTAACGGATGAAGGCATGATAAACATGCAGAAAATCAAACTAAATTAACTGAGCAATAATAAAGTACACACAAAATAGCAGAAAAATCCTTCAACTGAAATGAATAGAAAACAAAGTTTGTAAGCAAAATGCATGAAATCAGACAAGCAAAGCACAAAATCCAAATGTACAAAACTAAACATAACTTGAAAATTGCAAAAATGTACTCACCGAAACTCCTACAATCACAAAATGGCGGCCACACCACGTGCAAAAAAGAAAGCAAAATGTAAGCCTGTTTGGGGCTTCTATAATTAAGACACAATAACACGCCGAATACTAATTTCAGAAGTCAACAACACAAAAATCAGCGTTAATCTACAAAATTTTCACAGACTAGTTTCGATGGTTTACCGAACCATCATCTTCAGCTGCAAAAACCGCAAATGAACAAGATAGGAAATAATGTTTAGATAAGATAAGAAAGCCTGGACAAGATAAAGCAAGTGGCGCCATCTGTTGGCGAAACCAGAACTAAAACATAATTTCTCTAAAACCGAAGGCAAATTTGGATTGGAATTAGGATCGTTAACTAGAACAGAAAGATTTTTATGAATGTGAAATGCCTCTAGAAAATCCAGTTCTCCAATGGAACATGTTTTTTGAATAATTTTGGCAGCAGAAAAATTGAAAGTGTGATTTTTCGGACCAACAATGTTGAGCAACAGAAGACTTCTGTGTTTTCCTTTTTTCTAACATATGCCTCATGTTCTTTGGCGCGAAATTTTAAGGCTCTCTTAGTTTGGCCAATGTAAATTAAACCGCACTGGCAAGGAATCCTATAAATACCCCAGGAATTCATATCCGGAATGGGGTCCTTGAGTATAGAAGTTGGAATTTTATTGATTGGGAGAGTAAACAACCCGAAAGTTAAATTCTGCAAAATGTGTGCAACTTTATAGCTAATTGATGGAAAGAAGGGAATGACAACAGAATTTTTATAATCTCCTAAAATAAGAGTGTGGCTTTTAGTGTGTTGAGATGAGAATTTTTTAACTGCTTGATTAATAATGTTGGGTGAAAAGCCCCTGTCAATAGCTATTGCTTTTAAATAATTTAGTTCTTCATCAAGGGCTAGTTTGGAGGAGCAAACTTGAAGAGCACGGAAAACATAGGAATAAAATGAAGCTAACTTTTGTTTAGTCGGATGACATGATTTAAAGTGTGGTGGAAGGCAAACCGATGCTGACCAGTTCTGCTTGAATGATGACCAGTTCTGTTTTATGACCAGTTCTGTTTTAAATTTTGTAGATTAACGCTGATTTTTGTGTTGTTTGACTTCTGAATTAGTATTTATTCGGCGTGTTATTGTGTCTTAATAACAAAGTTGTTAGAAGATTAAGAATAGCCTTTTGACTTAAACAAACTTTAAAACATAAAGGCAACTCTCTCGTGCTACAATATATAAGCCACATCTCATGGATATACTACTAAACAGAACACTCAAATTTAAGTTAAACATGGAGCAGTAGTCAAAACTGAACAATTAATTGCTGTTCTAGAAGCTGGCTCAACTGCTGTACCGAAACGTCAGCATTTTAAGTGTCAGCAGCAGATAGAACGCAAAGCCGAATAATTACAACTACCATGACTGGCAGGAAACTAACACGTAGCGCGCACGCGATACCAGAAACCAGTTCTGTTTTAAATTTAAAAAAAAAAACAAAAAAAAAAAAAAAAACCTCATTTTAAATACTGGCTACTCATTTATATTCTGGCGAGGAATACGGAAAGAAGTTCTGGTAAAAGCTGAAATTGTAAATACCAACTGGTTAATTAACGCTAAATTACTTATAAAGTAGCTTTACATTAGTTTGTGTATGACGTAAATAGAGTCAGAAACAATCAGCGAATAGACGATATTAGTTTGTGTAGGACGTCAATAGGGTCGTAGCATGAATATGAGCCAATTCACAACCTTTAATCTGTTACTACTTTCCGAAGTACTACCATACTTCCTATTCCGAAGATCTGTGTGAGTAATTAATCTCTATAATATGTTGCACACCAGCGGCCGAATGGTAAAGTCGCTGAACTCTGGTAGTTCGGTCGGAGGTTCGAATCTCGCAAACTAGTTGGCTGCATGGCCGTTTTCGCGTTTTTCTCCATGTGTAACGTATACACGAGCCAGTTTCCCTTAGATAGTCCTCTATGAAGGCACTCCTCCTCTTAGGCAGACAGCCCTCAAGTATTTTGCCATAATCAAATAGACCAAACCAAACCTATAATGTGTTTCAAATGAAAAATGCTGCTCTCAGAATTGCACCGCTCACCCCTCCGTCTCGTTCTAGCTAAGCTACTGCAGAAACAGTGATAAGAAGAGTTAACTTAGGAGTTATGTCATCTAAAATAATCACAAACCTAAAAGTCGATTTAATTTATTCAAATCTTTGATGTGTTTTCAAACTGTAGACAACTACGCACCTTTATAAATCACACGTTCAAAATAAACAGGAACTAAGCGTCTTTAAAAACGCAGCAAATTCTCTAGGAGGAAAATTTTTAATTTAAAAATGTAGATATCTCAGTAATTAGCAAATAACAGCTCAGAAATATGTTACTTTAGACTTCTTTTACCACTTATCATCTGAAAAACATGCTTTTTTTAACTAATGTTTTTATTTCTAATAGTAATTTTGTTGTAAACGTATTTAATCGAATGCATTAAGAGTTTCAATTATAAAAGTTAACAAATTAGCAATTGTCTATTTTTAGGTTATTGTTTCTGTCTTTATACGTAAGTTATTTTACCCTTGTCCGGGAAAAATTCTAATATAGTCTTTTTCATCTGTTCTTTCAACAAATCGAATGCAGGTACTTCTCATGTAATAAGAGAAAGCTCCACGGGTTTTGGATTGAACTGAAAAAAAAGATTAATTAGTAAATGACTGTAGATTATATTCAAAAAGATATAAGATAGGAATTGGTAAACTAAAAAATATAAAATCATATGACTAAAACGAAACTACAATCTAATTTTGGCATGCAGATTTCAACTCTTGAAGCAGTTCCAAGCTTTAGGAGTTAAGAATTGTCTTAAAAAGACTTTAGAATTAGTCTTACGAAAATTAGAAACAGTGAACGTAAAATTTTACTTTTCAAATGAACTGTTAAAAATGGCCTTGACAAACGGTGCACGAAAAATTTGTTACGATATTATTTCATCGGAAATTAATCCCACATGAAGATTTTTGCACTTATTTAATAAAAAATAGAAATTATTCAAGAAATAGCTATGAAGTTTTTCACTGGATCTTATGCACAAAAGATTTTCAACAAATATTTCCATCAAATAAAAAGGCAAAAGTTTTCATTTTACCAATTCGCGGTTTACGAAATTCGCGTTTTAATACGCACATAAACCTAGAAACCATTACATTTAAAATGAATTAAAAGACTATAGTTTCTGCTATGATCAGAAAGTAACCCCTCCCCCACACACACACACAATAAAAAACTATTGCAAAAGTACTTTTTTTAGCAATCAGTTAGCTAGTAGAAATTTTTCTAAATTTTTTAAGCTAATAATGTTAGAAGACAGTACAATGTTAAATTAAATTGCTAAAGGTATTCTTTGCCGAATGCAAACTAATTTTAAATTATGTATGTTATTATGAATTTCTGTGGCTGGAATTCTTTCACTTTCGTAATGGGACAAGACATTATTGGATTCTTGTAATTTCAAATTACATAACTCATAAATTATTTGCTAAAATATGTGGGACACTAAGCAGAGCACAAGATTCAGAACAATTTTTCGGGAAGAAGTAAAACTTCTCGAAATTCTCGAATTTCTCAAAAAACTGGGTCATTTCTCAACAAACTTGCCAAAAAATATTCTATTGATAATTTTTTTAATTAAATTTCACCATTTTCTTTTGCATGTCAACATAGCAATGAAGAGAGGAATCGAGGCATATTGAAATGGAAAAAGAAGCACAATAAATAATTATTTTGAACACAAAAGTAAATATTTTATGCACAGTTAAATATAAAATATTTTCAATTGAAAACGATGTATAACTCACATGTCAGTCCCTTGTCAATAGAGTAAGGTACGACTCCATTCGGCCATAGTTTTTCTGGGAAAACAATAGCACCTTTGTCCTAAAAGTAGTTAAGACTTACAAAAATAGAGAAAGAAACAGGATATAAACATTCAGGGGCATTCGTAAATTTGGTAGGATACGAACTGCTCGAAATTTAATTGAAGAGCCCCCCTTCTTATCTAATCCCCGAACTGCGCTGCTTTTCCTGTCCCCTCTAAGAACTTGAATTCTCAAGAAGATGGGTGCTACTGTTATGTTAAAAAAATGTCATGGTACCAATAATGTTATGGTTTCCTAAAGTCTGGTACCTAAAAGGTTTCCTACTCTGTTGACATAACACTTAAAATTTTTTAACAGTAATATACTATATCAATAAGCCCTGTACATTTGCGTTGTGTTTTCGGATTAACCCTGAAATCAATTTGAGAATGAGACGGGTGAAAATCATTGAGCACACACACAAAAGGAAATAAATAAACATTGACTGATCTAGAAAAGTGAGCCTATTTATTAAAATTTTTAAGAGTTACTTAGTCCAGTCATTTGTAGGCAATTAATATTCAATCAGAACTGTTAACATATTGATTATTACACAGTGCAGAATTAACTTAGTAAGCAAATCATATTCAAGCTGAACTGTAAAATATTGCTTTCTACAAAATGCATACCTCTACAGAGTAATATTACTTCTATCTTAGACTCAATAATATCAAACTATTATTGCTATTACATTCAGATAAATATGATCAGATAAAACTTTGGATAAATTAACAATACCCTCCCCGGGGAGAAAAAAAAAGAATAATTAACAAGTTATACATTCCAAAAAAAACATTTCACACAGAGTAATCAATACCAATGTAATTCTGGTTATTGCACAAAGTAACTTTCTATTTTCAAAAGAATGATTTAACCGGGTAATATGTTAATTAAAATCAGCTATTACTTCCTACAAGCAATTTAACTCAGAATAATCAATACCAATGTAATTCAGGTTATTGCACATAGTAACTTTCTATTTTCAAAAGAATGATTTAACCGGGTAATATGTTAATTAAAATCAGGCTATTACATCCTACAAGCAATTTAATCCCTAAGAGGAGCAAAAAGCTCAAATAATGACACCTTTACCAATCAATCTTCACCAAGAAAGAAATTCACAAGTTCAATTAAATAATTTAATGAAGAATAAATTTCCTTAACCAATCTGACTAATTTACATTCACTGTTTCAATTAACTAATTTAAATAATGATATATTTCCTTGGCCAATCTAATAATTAACTTTATGGACAACAAAATGATTTCATTAGAATTAGGTTAATTTACTCAACTACAAAATTTTAATTCAACTAATTAAGTTATTTCAATCACTATTAACTATTTTAGTTGTTAGAATTACTTATTAGAAATGTCTATTAAACTTTACTATAAGAATTAACTATTATATTTTTTTTTTTAAATATCAGACCAACAAATAAAAGAAAACAAATAAAAAAAACTTATCTGATGAAATACAAGCCGCAGGTGAACAGGAGGAGGAGAAATGCCCTCATATTTAAAAATTATCAAGATGCCAAGGAGGACGGCTGCTGAGCGTAGTAGAAAATGAGAAGAGTTCTTAGGTAGATAGTTTTCCAAAAAGTCCAGCAATTACTATTGATTTAAGAAGCACTACGGAGGTTCTCTTTGATGTCCAATCCAGTATTGAAGTTAGCATTTTTGTCGTAGAGACACCGGAGCTAGCGATACAGAAGACTCTTGATGGCGGCAATTAATTCTTAAAGATTAGGAATATCGATGCAGATGAAAACTCTATTCATGGAGGAGAGACTGAAATTTCTTCTTAACGGCACTAGAACTAGGCATCACCCTTCTTTGCATTTTCCTATTTTAATTATCTTTGAGTAACTTAAACGTTATATTCAAGGCACGGCAAACTGAGGAGCCTATAATTTAGTCGAGGTCATAATGCATGCAAACTAAGTCCCTCGTTCAAAACTCCAGGGCAAGAGCCCGTAGATCCAAAGGCGGAAAAATTGCATTTTTTTCGAAATGAAATTTAGCTGCCAACGAGTACAGCGTCCGATGGTAAGTCAGAAAGTGCAAAAAAGTGTAAAAAGTGAGCTCGTCCCATTCAAAACAACCCGTTAAAAGGGAGGAGCGCCGGACTGCCAAGTTGGCAGCAACCCATTTTTCGCCGAAAAGTTGAAATAGTTGCAACTCACAGCATTCCCTTCATGTTAACAAACTCGCCAAAACCACCACTTTGAAACCTCCAACGGAAAATCTATGTCGCCAAGCCCTCGCCAAAATAACCCCACCTCGCGACCGGGGGAGATTAGGAATTTCAACAACCCTGTAAGGGTCCCAACGAAAGAACGCTGAAAACTCGCAAAAAAGTGACTTTTCAACCGGAAAGAAGGGCATTTCATTCCCCCTTTAACTAAATCACAAGCGAAACGAAGAAAAATCTACTAATTAAAGCTCATAACTGAAATGCAATTAAAGTTAGAAAAATGAAAGTTATGCCAAATTAAAGAGCTAATTTTTCTGCAACTAATGATATTAAATACTAAGAAATGTAATTATTTTGGCTTTCCGAGTTCGCGAACTGCGTCTAAATTTGATTGGGATGTTGTGTAGCGAATTTAATTTAATTAAGTGATTCATAAAAATCAAAATTTTAATTTGTAATTATTCAAAATTTGAGCTACACAAGTTTGGTTATATTCTTTTTGGGCCTATTAATTCTAGTGTAATATATTTTGGCTTTCCGAGTTTACGCGAACTGCGTCTTCAATCTTGTACACGCAAACAATGGATAAGTATTTTTTTTCTACGTAATAAACTCAGTTTTTCATGTCAAAAATTAATTTGATTTCTTAGTATTTAATATCATTAGTTGCAGAAAAATTAGCTCTTTAATTTGGCATAACTTTCATTTTTCTAACTTTAATTGCATTTCAGTTATGAGCTTTAATTAGTAGATTTTTCTTCGTTTCGCTTGTGATTTAGTTAAAGGGGGATGAAATGCCTTCTTTCCGGTTGAAAAGTCACTTTTTGCGAGTTTTCAGCGTTCTTTCGTTGGGACCCTTGCAGGGTTGTTGAAATTCCTAATCTCCCCCGGTCGCAGGTGGCTGTTATTTGGCGAGGGTTTGGCGACATAGATTTTCCGTTGAGGTTTCAAAATAGTGGTTTTGGCGAGTTTGATAACATGAGGGTATGCTGTGGTTGCAACTATTTCAACTTTCGGCGAAAAATGGGTTGCGCCAACTTGGCAGTCCGGCGCTCTCCCTTTTAACGGGTTGTTTTATGGGACGAGCTGACTTTTTTACACTTTTTGCACTTTCTACTTACCATCGGACGCTGTCTCGTTGGCAGCTGAATTCATTTCGGAAAATGCATTTTTCCGCCTTTGGATCTACGGGCCTCTTGCCCTGGAGTTTTGAACGAGGGACTTAGTTGCACGCATTATGACCTCGACTAAATTATAGGCTCCTCATTGCCGTGCCTTAATATGTAAGTTACTCAAAGATAATTAAAATAGGAAAATGCAAAGAAGGGTGATGCCTAGTTCTAGTGCCGTTAAGAAGAAATTTCAGTCTCTCCTCCATGAATAGAGTTTTCATCTGCATCGATATTCCTAATCTTTAAGAATTAATTGCCGCCATCAAGAGTCTTCTGCATCGCTAGCTCCGGTGTCGCCACGACAAAAATGCTAACTTCAATACTGGATTGGACATCAAAGAGAACCTCCGTAGTGCTTCTTAAATCAATAGTAATTGCTGGACTTTTTGGAAAACTATCTACCTATGAACTCTTCTCATTTTCTACTACGCTCAGCAGCCGTCCTCCTTGGCATCTTGATAATTTTTAAATATGAGGGCATTTCTCCTCCTCCTGTTCACCTGCAGCTTGTATTTCATCAGATAAGTTTTTTTTATTTGTTTTCTTTTATTTGTTGGTCTGATATTTAAAAAAAAAAAAAAAAAAAGAAAAAATTTATAATAGTTAATTCTTATAGTAAAGTTTAATAGACATTTCTAATAAGTAATTCTAACAACTAAAATAGTTAATAGTGATTGAAATAACTTAATTAGTTGAATTAAAATTTTGTAGTTGAGTAAATTAACCTAATTCTAATGAAATCATTTTGTTGTCCATAAAGTAAATTATTAGATTGGCCAAGGAAATATATCATTATTTAAATTAGTTAATTGAAACAGTGAATGTAAATTAGTCAGATTGGTTAAGGAAATTTATTCTTCATTAAATTATTTAATTGAACTTGTGAATTTCTTTCTTGGTGAAGATTGATTGGTAAAGGTGTCATTATTTGAGCTTCTTTGCTCCTCTTAGGGATTAAATTGCTTGTAGGATGTAATAGCCTGATTTTAATTAACATATTACCCGGTTAAATCATTCTTTTGAAAATAGAAAGTTACTATGTGCAATAACCTGAATTACATTGGTATTGATTATTCTGAGTTAAATTGCTTGTAGGATGTAATAGCTGATTTTAATTAACATATTACCCGGTTAAATCATTCTTTTGAAAATAGAAAGTTACTATGTGCAATAACCAGAATTACATTGGTATTGATTACTCTGTGTGAAATGTTTTTTTTTTGGAATGTATAACTTGTTAATTATTCTTTTTTTTTCTCCCCGGGGAGGGTATTGTTAATTTATCCAAAGTTTTTATCTAATCATATTTATCTGAATGTAATAGCAATAATAGTTTGATATTATTGAGTCTAAGATAGAAGTAATATTACTCTGTAGAGGTATGCATTTTGTAGAAAGCAATATTTTACAGTTCAGCTTGAATATGATTTGCTTACTAAGTTAATTCTGCACTGTGTAATAATCAATATGTTAACAGTTCTGATTGAATATTAATTGCTTACAAATTACTGGACTAAGTAACTCTTAAAAATTTTAATAAATAGGCTCACTTTTTCTAGATCAGTCAATGTTTATTATTTCTTTTTGTGTGTGTGCTCATGATTTTCACCCGTCTCATTCTCAAATTGATTTCAGGGTTAATCCGAAAACACAACGCAAATGTACAGGGCTTATTGATATTAGTATATTACTGTTAAAAAATTTTAAGTGTTATGTCAACAGAGTAGGAAACCTTTTAGGTACCAGACTTTAGGAAACCATAACATATTGGTACCGTGATTTTTCATAACATATTGGTGCCATGA